TTGGTTTATTTTCACTTGGTGACAGAGTTTCCATTAAATTACATTGGAGGTTTATGAAAATACTGCTTTCTTTTATTGCCATGATTAAGTCGGTTGGAAAAAATTCTTAAATCTATGCTATGTATGTGAAGAGAGTTATAGTTTCCTAATATTGTTTTTATTATTTTAATTTTTTCCACTTTTTTACTTTCTTACTTTTTTTTCTTTTCTTTAGTTTCTTTTTCTTTCTTTTTCTTTCCTTCCTTTTAAATAATTACAAATAGTGGTGATATCAATGTTGATATTATATTTAGAGTTTTTAGAGATTTCTAGGTATTTCTTAAGTTGGCATAATGAACAGTTCCAAACCTTTAATTCATTAATAATTAATTCAAAATGTATGATACTTGCAAACTTCTTGTTTATTTACTACATTTTGTTCTTTATCCACTCTTTCTTTTTTCTTTTATGCAGCTATTTATCCTGTTCCTTTAAATATTTTAATGAATAAACTATTTAAACATAAGAAGGTAGATTGCACAATGTTTGTCAACCTTACAAACTTGAAAATAATTAGAAAATGTTACACAATACTTCCATACTTGCAGCTGAACAAGTACATACCTGGCTCTGCAGTTTTTGCCCTCTTTTGGCCCTGTTGTAATCTGGTGTATCAAGGATTGATGTGTACTTAGTCTTTTGCTCTCTACCCACAGCTCGGTATACAATCTGGAAAGGGTTACATGAGCACAACACTGTGAGAACAACCCCAAACATATAATCCCAGTCTATCCCATCATTAGGCAAAACAAAGTAACTGCTTAAAGCAGTTGATTTGGGCTAAAAGGTAGGACATTTAACCCATAATTACTAAACGTTTTTCCTGGAATGAAGTGTTGATCAATATCTCTCTCTAGGTTGTCAAAATAGTTTAATTATTTTCCACCTTCATTTTGGGGCAGGAGATGATTGGAAGTTCACAAAATGTCTTGGACTGACCTTGCTTGCACCATTGGCTATGACAGACAGACAGATCCTTTAGCCCAAAGATATTGTGCAGCACAAAACTTCAGATACTTACTTGCAAACAGTATGGGACAGTAGCTGTTTTCCTTTGTCCTTGAACTTGGCCTACAGCAATTAACTCCTAAAGCAAATGATCTAAGATTCCTTGATATTTGCAGGTGTGTATCAGTTATAACCAATTTTGGTTATAATTTGGTCAAAACTGTATTGATTGACTGATTGATTGATTGATTGATTGATATGAGTAAATCATAACTTCCCAATAATGTCAATCAAAGCCTATTATGGAAAAGGAGGGGAGGGGTGAGGAGATGATGGCTTGATTGTCCATGCCATCTGTTTGTCACGGAGCATGAGCTTGCTCTTCTAGAAGATCCTTGGTTATTTTGCCCTGGTGAGCCCATGGTTTTGTTTTCCTTGCAGTTGCCCAAATCACAGATCCCTGATACTACCAACTGCTAATCTGATGGGTTTGTTTCTGCTCTTGTTCTCATTCCCCTGCTCTTCTGTTCTCCCTGCTATGAAAAGTAATCAGTGTTGTTGGCACTCCTTCCCAACCTGAACTATATTCTGTATGAAATTTGCTATGCTGAAAGCCAGACTACAAGCTACAAGATCCCTTTGGTTACATATATCCTATCTACCCAAAAAAAGTTGCAGGGTTTTCTTCACTGTGCAAAGTAACCAAGTGGTCCTACCACCCACTCTATCTCACATTTGAACAGGTGTCAATATAATCATGTCGCTTGGCTGCATTTATTATTGGCAGTTGTCTGCCACCTGGAATGTCCAACTTTCTGCCAATTTCGTATAGTGCAACTACTGTATGTAAGGAAGGGACGGGGGCTTTTCTATTGAATTTAAAGGGCTTTTCATTGTGGGAAAATTAACAACACTGAACTTACTTCACTAAGATGGGTTTTTAGCTCCTGGATTTTTCTGTACCCCGGAGTGTCCAGAACCAAAGAGTATTTGTCTCGTATCTTCTTTGCAGCATCAGTGTACACATAATGAGACTGGAAAGAAAAGTACTTTTATTTAAAACACAAGTTAATTAGCCCCACAAAATTAAGTAATAAAGTGAAGACTAACAAAGAAAGCTAATATAGGAAGATTCTCTAACTTCAGTGGAATGTCAGGCTGAGCATTAGCGTAATATGGATTCATGTTGTCTTATGTTTTAAACATATTCATACTATGTTTTTTTTGTGTGAGCCACTTATTGTGGAGATTAAAGTGGCATATAAGCTTGATTAATTAATTGATCTTATATTGATCTTATATGCCACTTTAAAAATATTAAACCTTGCCTTGTAGTGTTTCTTATCTTTTTAACTGAGGAGCAAAAAATAAATACATCTAGCATTCATGGTTATAGGTGGGAAAAGGCATACCCAGAGCTTGCGTAAATGCCGTGCACGGACCATATCAGGAGTATCATACAGGAAGCAGCCCAGACCTCTTAGCCACTCTAGATCACTTTTGTATTTAATCTGTCAAATAAAAACATGCATTGAATATAGCTCTTCCATATTAGAGTATACATTTCACATGAATCAATAATCTGGACTGGTCTAGAATGTTGGGAAATCACACAGCCATTCTATTGGAACATTAAAATCCTAAGTATTAGAATCCCAAAGCATTATTCTAACGCACGGATAGGAAAACTAGTTTTCCACGTGGTGTTTGATTTCATTCCGAGCAACCCCAGCCAGCGTAGCCAAGACTGATGGGTACAGTAGTCCAAAATCTCAAAGTCCACAGATTTCCATAGGAGTACCCCAAAGCAGCTGCAATTGATATAACCAACAAAGCCTGTTCCATATGTTCTGTTTACTGGCTATAATACATTTTGATAAAATCTTTTTAGGGAGAGACACCAATAATACCCCCCCAAAAAAATTTTTTGACATTATCACAAGCCCCAATATTTGTTGCAACCCATCTATATGTACCCACAGCAACTTATTCTGAACTTTTAAAACAACTCTTGCTTACATCACTTGTAATTTCTCCAACGTAACGGTTGTGTACAGTCTGTGGAGTAAAAGGTAAGGAAATCAAGTGTCCTTGCATCCTGAAGAAATCAGTCTTGTAGATAAGCTAAAATAAAGAAAGAAGAATAAGATTTTTCCCCTCCCAGCAAATCACCCACAACAAAAACTGGGTATCTAATATAAATAAAATATGCCTACATCACTGAAAGCTTCTTGGTTTATTTTCACTTGGCGAATATGTGGCGTGTCAGGTGTCATATGAATCTTATCTTTATTTTTGTGATATGTCTCCCGATACAGTCTCTGTAACAAAAGGGAAAGGATTAAATAAAAATCTAAAACTAAATAATCCTGATCTATTTTGCAGTGTTCCTTAAAAAATTAAGTCATTTTAATAGACAGAACTAATCCATGAATGCTAAATAATAAACACATGAGTTGCTTTATAGCAAGCAATAGTTTGAGAGAAAGCAGTTCGCTATTCCTACTTTGCACCTTCTTTACTGTATCAATTAAAATACACACTTCAAAACCATTAATATTTCCAATACACAAATTTATCTGCTCCTTAAAATGGGGTCATAAACATTGTTCATAAGCACATCGTTATTTTAAGTTACATAAGATTCCAACAGTGATCTGGCCATTTCAGGTGTAATTTATTATGTTCTTTAACTTTTTAAAAAAAAATTCACACACACACCCCATTTTATGGCTCAGATTCCATTTCTGCTATGCATGTAGATTATCAAGCAGTTCACTTGTCTTTTAATTTCACCAGTTTGCCTTTCTATGAAATGAATAGCTTGTGACTGGTCATGCCCTCCCTGCAGCCAGCTTATGAATGGACACTCTCCCCATGGTGCCCCTTTCCCCCCAAAATCTATAACATGTTCCCAACCATTCAAATGTACCCAAAACATTTACTATCTCAATTAATAGGTTAATGTTGATGGAAAAGAACAGAGAAATATCAATTAACCTTCTTACTACTTTGCAGCCATACAGTTTTATGCACAAATATAGTTCCCAATAGCAAATGTTTATAATTATGAGCATTTTAGGTTTACTGTATTGATTAAAATACACACTTCAAAACCTTTAACATTTCCAATACACAAATTTATCTGCTCCTTAAAACGGGGTCATAAACATTGTTCATAAGCATATCATTATTTTAAGTTATGTAAGATTCCAAAAGTGATCACAAATAGTTTTATAAAATCAAGTACTGTGTCATAGAAATGCCAATTTTCATGAAATGTACTAATTACCTCATTAAGGATTTTATTGACTTTCCTTGTATGTACAAATGGAACAGCTTTGGGCCCAAAATTGTAACCGGTGCCCTTGATGTGTTCATAAATTTCTTTATATTTTATCTGAAAAACAAATGCATACATGGACTTCAGATTCAGATGTCTTTAATAAATAAAAGCAGTTAATAAATAAAATCAGACAGAACCCAAAAACCAAATGAATCATGTATTATATATAATTAAAACAATATTACATGTGAACATACAGTTGACTTTAAAAGACCTTATATTGCAGTTAGGCAGCCATGTTTTTCTATCTCAATACCTCCCTTTTTCCATTTGACCATTTTAATGAAACCGCTAATTTTATTATTTTTGTTATTATTTGTTCCTCACTCAATTGAAAGAAGAAGTCAATAAAGAAAGATACTTGGAATTACATTTTGGAAATATATGTAGGTATGAAGCAGAAAGAAAATTATATTAGAGATTTTTGAAATAATTATGACTTTTTTCATGTCTTTTGCAGTAAGGTAAAGCTTTTCATCTTACCCTAAATATGACTTAGGATAAAGTCATACAAATTTTATAGTGATACAGTGGGTTTGACATAGAAGTGCCCACATATATAGAAGGATTTTTCCAACATAACGAGAGTCTTCTATATCTAAAAAAACATCTGATATTTGTTGCATATGTTTTTGCATGCTATCTCATGTGATTTTACAAGTACTATTTCTATATTCTTAAGCATGAATGACAAAAGGATTGCATTACAGAAGTATTTCGGGTGCTACCAGTATGTGTCTTGTTTAATATTACTCTTATTTTTCTCTTTTTGTCTCTCTCTGTCTGCAATTAAAAATTAATAAAATAATTACTTACATCACTGCCAATATATTGGGCATGTTTAGCAAGCTTGAAACCAGGAGTATCTGGTGGGAGTTTGTATCCAGTGGGAAGAGCATGCAAGCCAGCATTCCGGTAGAGAGGCTGACATAAATTAACAAACAAACAAACAAGAAAATATATTAAAACCCTTTAAGACAAGTGTTGGGAAACTTCAAGCTTGTAGAATCAACTCTGGATATACTCTACCACTGTACAAACAGAAGTCTACTCATACATCTGACCAGTCATCCCAGGCTCTGCCCACACTCATTTTTTTCACTACTTCTTCACTAGCCCTTGAGTTTGGTAAATTGAAAATATACATCAAGAAATGCAATCCTAGCCACTTTTAAACTGCAGTACTCAATGGTAATAACACTTCAACAAGGCAGTGGTGATCTCCTTTTCATAGGATATGTTTGAGCAGAGGCAAGGCAATCTGTTAGGGACACAATTGAATTTAGATTTTTCCACTAAGAAAGGGTTGGATTAGAAGGCCAAACTCACTCTATGATTCTACAGTATGCTAAGTAAGTTTAAGGTTATGGTCAGAAAAGGCAAGTGTGCTAAACTCTGCACCTTGCTGGCCTTGGCTGGTCTCCAAAAACCTTAGGAATAGATCTGGTTAGTACTAGGATGGGAGAACCCCAGAAAATCCCAGGTCTGTAGGTTAGAATAGGAACAGCCTTCTGGGAGAAGGCAGTAGCAAACCCCTTCTGTATTACTGCCAAGAGAACAAAATGGACATTTCTATGGATTATCACCAAGAGTCAAAAAAGCACACTTTCTATTCTAATAGCGATCTCAGTTCCTTAAAAAAGGTAGCCAAAATCACACCACTTACAAAGAAACGTATCAGCATGCTTGAAAGTCCTTCACAGTTCGCAATAGTATAAAAAGCTTTTGGAAAAAAGAGAAGACCCCAAATGTCCTAAACAGCTGGGTGAAGGTATGGGTCACTATAACACTGCCTGTCTTGAAGATCTCCTGCTTGTTCTTTTCTATTTGATATTGTATTATTTGTATATTATTATTGTTGTTGGTCGCATAGCCAGATGTTTAGACTGGATTTGGCATTTTTATCCATCTATCGAGTTGTTGTTGTTGTTGTGGTTGTGGTTGTTGGTTGTGGTTATTATTATTATGGCTGCTGCTGCTCTTTTGCAGCTTAATGGCCCCAATCCCACCAAATCCCTTCACTCCCTCTTTTAGTGTTTTTTTCATTCTCATCCAGAGGCAAAGTCCAAGCACTTACTTCACTCTGTATTTTGTAAGCCCGATTTGCCCGCTCCAGATCCACTGTCTTCTCCGTTGGCGTATATTTCCCTTTGATATTATGCACGTAGTTATGGCGGTAAACAGCCTAAGCAATTGACAGAATAGAATAAGCTGTGTTGAATATTAGCAAAAACGTCCTCATCTTCTTAGTTTTTAAACCCTGGTTAGATATCAATCAGGTGCAGAGAGAGCAAAAGTAGATTTTCAAAGGAAAATCCTAATGTTGGAGGGGGGATCTGGAAAAAGAATCCTAACCTTCATTCTTCAGAGGAAGTACCTGACTTGGAGCTCTAGATGGTGCAGAAGTATAGGGAATTAGGAAATAGCGTGACAAAAGGCTGGTGAGGAGGAAATACCTTTATTGTGCTATATTTGTGTTAAAAAAAATTATAAGTGGAACCGCTACATGCAGTTATGGTGACTGCATAAGTGCTGATCACACAGCCTTACATTGCTTGGAAAGTCAACATGTATGGACTTTTCAAGTACTTGCTGAAGAATAAAGGAAAAAGAATCAGTCTTATTGATTTATTTATAAAATTTCTACCCTGCCGCAATCAAAAAGGCTTTCAGCGGCGTACACAGAACATAGTAGAACAAATTAAAACATCCATGGTAACTACCCCAGTGCTTCATAAATAACACCAACAAAAGCAGTAACCAACCGAAAACACAGAAGTAAAAACAAGGACCCTTTCATCTTATGACATAGATAGCTATTCAATCAGGGCCAAATGAACTGGAAGCAAAATGCTCCTGTGCATCTAATGTGAAACTTTAAAAAAGACAAAAATAAAATATTTTTTTTTAAAAGGGGAATCAAAGCAAGAATAGGAAAAAAAACTTTCTGCTGCTATAGCTTCTTTTCTGAAGCTATGACTTGCATTGGGAGGAATTCAATTCCCACTCAATCTCTGCAGTATTTGTGAACATGCTATATTTAGTTGATAAAATCGCAAGGAAATGAAACTAGATCATTCTGGAAACCAGTTTCTGGTTCTGAGTCTGAATTGGGAAGTTGACCCTTTTCTGAACTATTTCCTACTGCATGTTTGAATGGTTTCTTTCAGAAATGCTGCTGATTGGCTGGTGGAAGTAGTACTAGTAAACCATGCTAAGCATGGTAATGAAAGCACTAATGAAAATCCAAGCCATTTTCATTAAAGGAAAGGGGAAGAAGCTGATGTGAACAGGAATTCAGATACTCACTTCACTCAGATTCTTGCCACTGATGACATTTTGAACATAGAGAGGTGTGTCTGTGACGACAGAATATTTGCTCTTCATTTTCTCTGCCTCAGCCTTGTATTTGAGCTATGAGAGGGAAAGAATACATAGATATCTTCTTCCTTTCTTGTCACTATATTTTTCAGAAGTAATATCTATATAGCAGTTTTTGTGAAAGTAATACTCTTATCTGGCTTGGAGCCTCTTTTCCAATGAAGAAGAAAGGATGAAGTGGAAATATTTTGCAAGCTTTCGCAAGACTAAGATCATCTTAGATAGGATGGCTGCTGCCTCATGCACTAGCCTCCCTCCAGTTACTTAGAAAGATGTTTTTGCATTTTAAAATGTTTCTATTTTAAAAGAAGTTTGAAGCCACCAGCAGTTGTCAGCCATACTTACAAGATTACGAAGATCATAGGCGTGTTTAGCACGGAGAATTTCAGGAGTGTCCCAAACAAAGCAGCCAATGCCTTTGAGCCAGTTGAGATCATCTCGGTATACAAACTGAGATATTCAATTAAAAGAGAAACCAAGAGAAACAGTGAGGATTTCATTCCATGCAACCTCAAGAATGCTTTATCTATCAACTAAAGCTAACTTCCCAGTTTGGGTTCAGGTCCATTTCATGTTAAATGATCTATTAATTCAATTCCAGGCTGGGAAGAAATAACCCCTGACAAGACTAATTTGAATGTTAATTTCATGTCTTTCCAGTACTCATGGTTATCAGGTATTGTCTGAAAAGTCTTGGAAGACAAACAGATTATAGTTCAGTTGGGTCTTCTTTCTATCAGCCTCTGCCATCTGAAGAAAATACAATTACTAGAAGCAGGAAGCCAAAAAAAGTGGCTGGTTAGTTCAAATCAGCCTTTTCAACTCAACTCCATCCAGAGACACTGCTTCTCTTGAATCTCTGGTTCTCTGATGGTGGTCAGTTCCACCGACAAGAGGAGACATGGCTGGTAAGGTTCTACATTTTGTAATTTTATTCCCCTTTGGCTTTTTCTTTTTGCTTTACCAACTTCTTTCCTTCCCAAAGTACACCTCATTTTCTGCTTGTATGCTCTAGAAGTCTTTTTGCTGCATTTTCATTTACCTCTTTGATTCCCTCTTGACCACCATTTTTAAAATTTTGTTCTGAGAGTAATACTTATAAGGTTCTTTGACGTATCATTCATTCATTCAAAAATGCCCAACAGCAGCTGGTGTTTGGTTTTCCTGCTGATGGATGACTCCGATAGAAGGAGAAAGGATGGCCAGGAACCCACCAATCCCTGCCCTCAAGGCAAGGTGTGTTACCTTCTGTGAAGGTGGCAACACAAATAGTTTTATTGCTGAGATGGCGTAAAAGGTAGGCATGGGGATGCTGTGAGAAAGAGCCTATAATTGTGTTTTAAGAGTATGGATATTATATTAGTAACATTGGAGTAAATTATTCATTTTATGGAAATTTTGTATTAATAAGCATTTGCTATAAAATAAGATCCTAAAATGTTCCATTGCAAACCAGAAAAGGATGTTGGTTGTATTTTTTGTGGTTTGTGTAGTTTGTCCAGATATACATGATTTCCTGTTCTTTTTATTCTTTTGATTTTTGTAATATGTAAGTGACCCAGAGTTGTTCTGGGATCAGGTGGCCTTTAACAAAATAAAAAATAAAGTAAAGCAAAAATGTCCCTTTATATAAAACATTATCTTGTCCCTGTGAAGGTATGTGCTGTACAATTCCTATACCACTTCCAAACAAAAACTGACAATAAGTAGTCGATTTTTGATGCCTATATTGATAGATATCCTTGGTTATCCTTTTATAATCTAAACCATCAGTACTGTATGTTCAGTTTGTATTCGAATTAATTTCTATTAAAATGAATTTAGTACAGCTTGCAATGTATAAGATGAAGTATGTCCCACCATTCATATTGTTTTCTGCCTTGTGCAACTTTCATTTAATACTTTTCTAAGAAGAAGTTATGATATAATTGACTTACATCACTAAGTTGATTATTTACTTTTCGGGCAAGAATATTGGCATGAGGATCTGGGATACTGGCCCATTCATGGAGATGAACACGATAATCAATTTCACTGATTTTCTTCTGACTGTTCTTAGCTGACACAATGCCCACCATGTCTGGTGCAATATGGATTTTGGCCTTGTTCTTTTCATAGACTTCTCTGTATAAGCGCTAGGAAGTTCAGACAGAAATATTAGTCAACACTGCATTAACAACAAGCTTCACACTTGAAATATGATCCATGATAAATTTTCTAAGGAAGCAAATACTATGAGTAGAATAAGTGTGAGCAAATGCTTACTGATTTATTTTGGAACCTTATAGTGCTCTAATTATGCCAAAATAGTTTTACAAAAATAAAAGCCAAAGTCATGATTAAAAATGCCCAGGAATCACTGAAAATCTGATAGAGCTACAGTAATATAAACAATAGAAGGCTTGGCTGGCCTAAAATAATTTGCTAATATTTGTCAGTAAAGAGAGATGAATATCTGTCTGAATTCAACATGCAGAAGCCAAGGGCTAACACTCTGTTTTGCAATGCAAAATGAATTAAATAGCCCTCATTCCTGATTTGATTAACATCAGCTTGTAACATTAGCTCTTGGCAGTGCTGTTTAGGTCTAACTAAAAAGTCTAGAAGCTTTTTCTAGATGGCAGGAAGTAGATTTTATTATTAGTGCAACACTAGTAAGCACTAATATTACCCTATCCCAAACAAATAGCCAATATTTATTCATTCATTCAAATTATATGGCCGAGGGCATGACTGACAGCCCCTACAGTCTCCAGATAGGATATCCACAGCATCACTGAAGCAACCTGGGATGGAGATATAAAGCTGGATATCATCACCATACTGATGATGCCTCATCCCAAATCGTTGGATCACCTCACCCAGTGGCCTCATGTAGGTGTTAAATAGGAGGGGAGAGAGGACCAAGCCCTGCGGTACTCCATAAAGTAGGGGCCATGGGCTGGACCTCTCCCCCGCATCAACACCAACCAACTGGAACCAACCCTGGAGGAAGGAGGAGAACCAGTGCAACACGGTGCCACCCACCCCCAACTCCAGAAGCCAGTCCAGAAGGATAACATTATTGATGGTACTGAAGGCCACTGAGAGGTCAAGAAGAGCAAGGATGGATGTACTACCCCATCCCTCCAATGAGGGTACAGGTTACCTTAAACAGGGCCACCAAGTGGCTATCTGCAGATGCAATAAGGGCAGAAAAATAATTATGTTTCACTGCCGTTACCACCACAAGGTAGGCTCTAATAGCAGCTCTAGCCCATGTTTGATCATCTTCACTCTTTTTCGTTTGCCAGCTGCACTCTAGGCATCTCTTCACCCTTTTCAACTCCCTTAGCTCCTCTGTAAACCACGGAGAGTTCCAGGATCCATGGGCACTGAGTAGCTGCTCAGGCACAATCCAAACCAAAGCCATATTGTCCAATATGGCCAATGTTAAAAGAATATGGATCCAGAAGATTTAGAGGGCACCAAATTGCCGCCCCCTAGCCAATATGCTTTCTAGTTGTTTGTTTTAAGGCAGAGAATATGTTCCCCTTTACTGGAGAAGAAAGTTCCACTGAAATCCTCCATCAGTTTAATCACTCCATGCGATGAAGTGCATGAAAGCTTACACCTTTTAAAAAATATATTAGTCAGAAAAGGTGCTACCAGACTCTTGATTTTGAACTATCACAGACTAACCCGGTTCTCCTCTCACTGAAACAGTCAGAGGAACAATGGTAATGCAGTTTTAGTGTTTGAATTGTTAGACTGCAAAACTGGCAAATGGAGAGACAGAATTTCTAAGTTGGACTATGGCTCGAACTTGAAGTGGTCTACAGGAATCCATACAGCTTTTCTATCTGTGAATGAAGCAGAACCTACCTGTACTATTCTATTGATTAAAGTAAGATCTTGGCATCCTAAGCCTCTGGTATGGTCTTATCCAATGGGACTAAGGCTTGTAATTCTTTTGCTTGATTCCTCACCACTTGGAGAAGCAGGAACTGTTTAATAATATACTTTTTCAATATCTAAAACCAGTTTCTGGACACATTAAGAAAATTACCCTGAATTTAAAGTTTAACAAGATGCTTTTGCTTATTAAATGTTATATCAGCATAATCTTACATCAATGTTCAGCTTGCCCACTCTTAAGCATCTTGCAGTGTTGGGATCATCCTGAACACCTTTAGGTAGAGTGTAGAGTGCTTTAAACTTATCATACTCTTCCCGATATTTCACCTATGTGGAAAAAAAAGAAAAATAAAGCTGCATGGGAGCTCTGTCTTATTTCTACAGCAGAATTACCAATGCATTGTTAGGTAGACTTACAATACTGGCATTATATTTCAGCTGTCTAGCCCGAACGAAAGGCACAGCATCTGGAGGCAATTTGAACGTGATGGACTTGATTTTATCCCATAATTTCTTGTACAGGTTCTGAAGAGAGGAGAAAGAGTTGTATTTGTATTCTAGACAAAATCTATGAAATAGCAGTGGAGTAAAATGTAGCACAGTATAGAATATCTTTTATTTTTTGTATAGATCACAGGCTTGGAGCTGCTTCAGAATTCTTGCTCATGATGGCACAAAGCAAAATGTGTTAGCAATTAGTAAATCTTATACAGAAGGTAACCCAGAACTGCATATTGCTTCACATAGATTATTTTATCTCCTCTTAATCTACTTGAGTGGGTGACAAACAAATGAATACCACTGTCACCCTCACCCCAATCTCTGATGCCTCTTACACAAGCCAGCCCAAGCAGGAAGAGAAGTCAGTACTCAATAATCCTCACACTCTGACTTTGGCTGTTATACCTTGGGTTAGGAAACTACCATAACTTGCGGAGCAGCTGCAAACCAAAATCTGTTTCCCTTAAGTGTGCACAAAGAGTAATTCCAAGAGGCTTCTGGACTGGCAGAACATGAACCCTTATTAGCAAGCATGCTGTTTGATATGCTATCTATACTACACTATCCTGACTCCAGAAAAGCATTAAAAAGAAAAATACTCACATTACTGAAGAGATGCTTGAGCTTCTGGATCCTTTCATGATCTACTGTTTTCAACACTGTAGTATATTTGTCCTTTATTTTATGGTATTGCTCTTTATATTTCAGCTGTAATGAAAGGGAGTTACAGCCGTTCATTCTCTTCATACAAATTAGAGGCAGTAGAAAAAGAAAATTAGGAATAAATCTGAGCAGAGAATAGGAGGAGAATGACTCACATCACTAGCATTGATACCACTCTTGACAGCAGTTACATAAACTGGAGTGTCCGTAACCACGCCATAGTTCTGTAAATTGTCCTTCCCTTCTTTTGTGTATAGCAGCTGTAAAATCAAGGCAAAAAAGCAGCAATGCTTAGTTCTTAGCACAATATGTAGCAATGCATATGAAATTATTTTTTTAAGTCCGTGTGTTATGAGTCTCCATAATATACAGTAGTTGATAACTTTTCAAAAACATTTTGCGGAGCTATATTTCTACTGAAGTCCTTTTTGGTGTAACAGAGAGGTTTGCTTTATTCCCCATAAAGTGAGACGCTACCCTTGCATTTATTTATGCCTGTATTTTTTTCACAAAAGGATAGCAATCCTACAAATAAAGATGCCTTATCTTAGACGTGCTTGAGCATAGTAAGCCCTGACTGTAAGCAAATCACGTTGTCCTGGTTTGTACACAGTGTTAAATGATGTGAATCAGGAAATTAGAGAGGTCCACCAATCCAATACTGTCTGATTCACAGCAGCTTTCCTGCATTTCAAAAAAAAAAAAAAAGGAGCATCTTTTCTAACTGTGCTACCTAATGTTTCTCTACGGATAAGACCTGGTGCATGCCTGAACTGATTACATAAAGATGCCCTCCAAACGTAGTTCATGCTTCTCCTTACTTGGCTCTGAAGATCATAAGACTTCTTAGCTTGCAGGATTTGAGGAGTGTCCCACACGTAGCATCCAATTCCCCTTAGCCATGTCAAATCATCCTTGTATATAACCTATAGTTAGGGAGAGAAAATAATAAAGAAAACATAAACTTCTCTTGTCTTCTCTTGCATATCACACGGATACCTTCAATCATCTTATAGTTTAATTCCAGGGCAAATGTTACAACAAGAGGAGAAACAAAAGCATTAGGTTTGAATATTTAATGCTAACCTGAACATAAAACATGTGAATGTCTTTCTGAACTTTATCTTGATACCATTGCTTTTAAAAGAGCAATTTTTAGTAATTACGTAGGGTTACAGAGGATTTAAAGCAGAGATGTAGAACTTGTGGCTCTCAAGGCATTGCTGAATTACAATTTGCAGCATTCCCCAGCATTGGCCAAAAGGACCTATTTCAAATTGTAAATTAATAACATGTGGAAGCCAACATAAAAAGATTGCCATGTTTGATTTAAAGCATGTTACATACCTTATCTTAATGTAAGCTAGGCCCCAATAATATAAAAATATAAAAGAGATCTATGGGGTCATACAACGATCTTCCTGGCCTCTCATCCTATAGCTCATCCTATAGCAGATCATAAAAGGTGACTGAAACTCCCAGGCTTGCTGCCTTATAGAAGTTGTATTTTGCCATTATGGATAATAGCTCTTGATAGATCTAGTTTTCATGAATTTGTCTTCAGTCTGACAAAGCAAGAATTACCTACCAAATATTAACTTCCCTGCAGGAAGACAAGAATTTTCCCTTACATAAGTACATGTGAATTGAAGAGTCAGTTTTATATTGGGCTGATAAGAAGAGAGGAAGCTGTTGTAAACAAAGAAATTAGCAAGAGATACAAATGTCTGCAGACATCACTGCTGAAAAGCATGGATGTCTCTGAAGATTAACCTGAAGATTAGTTAGTTCTTGGGAGAGGCTGCTTTGTGATTAGGCATATCTTTTCTCCCTTTTCTTTTCTTTCTTATCTATTTCCCACTTCTCTCCTTATTGTCCTACCATTTTGTCTTTCTTTTTTGAGTGCAACTATTCCTCTGTTTCACCCCATCCCTGTCCTGTTCTTTTCTTCTTTCCTTTTTACTGTTTCTGCTGGAAAGAGAAGACCCACGTATGTCTGCAGGGTTCTGAAAGTGGCCTGTGCAAATGAGAGTAGCTTCTACATGCAGACAGAGTTCAGATCATTTGTAAATGTGGTATCCTATTTTACAGGCAATTAATTCTAATTAATATTTCTTAATTAAATTTATTTTTTGTCCTGACCTTGCACTTTTTTTGGTGTGTGTGTGAGACTTCTGGAAGATATACACAGACATAATATATTAATACATACATACAAGTGTGTCCTATGCATGTGCTTATGGGGGGAGGAGAGCAGAATTGGTTCCAGCAGGGCAAGGTAGGGAAGCTGGACATTGCACAGGATTTTTATCACCTTCAGTTTAAGGTAGTTTTCCGTTTGAGTACAAACAGTGCTATCCAATGAAAGCCCATGAAGATACTGTATGAGTTAGTTCATGGTCATACTATACAATGCTAGCATATAAAGCAAAGGCTCTGGGTTACTGATACTAAGCTTCCCTACTGATTTGCAATAAACGAAGCATCTCTCAATCATCAAGGAAACAAACTGTTGCTTACATCACTTAGAATTTCCTGAGCTTTTTTAGCTACCACCACATCATTCTCTTCAGGTGAACAGTTCCACTGATGCAGGTAGGTTCGGTATTCAAGGTCACTGAGGATATACTGGCATTTCTTAGCCAGCACATGATGCATCATGTCACTTGGGATATGAATGTGTGCCTTAGTGTCTTCATAATTCTTCCTGTAGGCCAACTGGAAAACAAGATAAAAGTGGAAAATGTCAGATAAGGGGCTTCTGGGCTCTCTGCTCCACCAAATACAGGCAGCATAAAACAATCTGACGTCTGTTGCCGAATTCAGTTTCAGATCTGCTCTGAAGAAGCGTGCAGGAAGGTTAGCACAACATCACCACATATTTGGTGTCTCCCATGGCATTACCCTCATCACTGATCATCAGACCCATTTTCCTCTCTACATTATTCAGCTTCCTTGCTATAATTCCTGGGAGAATCACCGTCCAAGAAAAGCAAAAAAAAATAATTCCTTACCGCACTCCGCATTTTTTGGAAAGCAAGAGAATGGAGCACACTTGGGAAGTCTATATGTTTCCCAGCCAGATAATGGCCCTTTAGCTTCTCATACATTGCTTTATATTTGAGCTGAAAAGGCAAATGAGGAAGGTGTTAGATTTTTAAAAAATCCCCCAAACAAAGGTAACAATCAAAAGAAAATTTATACAAACCAGGCTGTTAACATAATCGGCATGTTTGGCACCAACAATTGGGATGTAGTCTGGAGGCAAAGTGTAACCAATTGCCTTCCCTGATTCCCAGGCATCCTTGTACACGATCTAGAGGGCACAAAAAGGGCACACTAGATATAATGAACTAAGTTTAAAAGGCTCAAAATGCAACCGCCCTTAAAGCAAGAGCAGGTGACTTTTCCCAGTTTGGAATTTCACCCATCATTTTTTATGAAGTCAGGCCTGCAGTAGGAGGGGTGATGAGGCAAAGTGGGTGGGTGCCTCAGTTTAAAAAAAAAAAGGGGGGGTTCCCTGTCTTTAGTGAGAATATTATTTCTCTCCCTCTCTCTCTCCCTCTCTCTCTCTCTCCACACACAGACACACATATACAGCTTATGCTAGAGCTTATATTACAGTTATGCATATTCCTTTTCTCTTAGAATGGCAGGAATTCTAAGAGGAATTCAAAAGCTCTGCCAGAATGAGTCCAGGAGCCACAGTGGGTCCAGGGTCTCAGTTTATTCTCTCCTGCTTAAAAGCCAGATCTTTGTATGCCTGCAGGCAAATTTATTCTTTCACATTTTTTTAAGTACTATGTAATATAAAGTTTTCTTCAAGAGAAACTCATCTGCTGGAGACTTCATTCCTGCTAAATTGGTTTCCCTTGATGTATCTGTCAGCAGCTCTGTTGTACAGCTTGTTTTCTCTGTCTTTAGCCTATAGATTCTTTAGATTTATTGTAACTATCATGGTTAATAATCTATTTGAAAGACCGTAGCTAGATAATTACTTGAAGAGGGAAGAGGTACTTAGCAACATATTTGCTCACTTAACATGAACACAGAGTTTATTCTAGCCCAAATAAAAATCTATGACCTTATGGATTTTATCTAAACTGTAAATTTAAATAGTATTGATGAATAATATTTTAGTACTTTAAGATTTGGCACATACTGCTGTTTACTGAGATAGTGGCGTGAATGGAAAAAAGTACAACTGAAAAAGCTAGACATAGAGTGCAGCAAGAAGAAAGTGGAGTCGAAGTTTTAAATTTATTTTCCCAGGCCTTGTCTCAAAAGATCCTGATTACATCCCTTCTCCCAGTGTTAAGACTAGGAGTATTTCTGAATGGGACTTTTCTCATCCGATCTTCCTCCCCTCTCACAGACTTTTCTAGGGGGAACCAAAAGATACATTTTCCATTTGTAACCCTTCCATGTTTTTGCACCATTTCCTACATCTATTAAGAAAAGAAGAAGAAGTAATAGCTCCATAGTGCTTTATGATTGGTAGCAATAAGAGTTCTCTTGCTAGAGCTACAGCAATTAGAGACTTGCCAGAATTACTCACTAAATAGGGTTTTTTTTTGAAAAACAAGTCTCATTGCAATTTTAAAAAATAAAATTTACAGAGTAGCTTCTTGCAACAAAAGCTGAAAGATATTTGAGCTACTTTAACAATCAACACATTTTTATATCAAAAGCTTTCCTATGCTAGAGGGTACTGAGGATTCTACCAATGAAAAACTATATATTCATCAAAATGTTTCTATTTAAGGCATATTTTCATGAAGTTCATGTAATTAGAAGGCCTGAAATAGTATTATGAAAATAATTGCTGGTTCAGCATTAAGAGAGAGGGAAGTTTGGGATGCAGGGGAAAGTGATCTTCCACCAGGCATTTACATAAAAAAATCTGTTCCCCCAAATTAGATTTCTTCCTAGTAATACAAGAGATCTTGTATGTTGAATTTTCATGATTTGAAATACAAGATAGTCAGAAACTTACATCGCTATAGAGTTTTGCCATCCGTCTGGAAAGATTCAAAGCTGGTGTGTCATCAGAACCAATGTAGTGGCCTTTTTGAAGGTTGAAGGTTTCTTTGTATTTCAGCTAAACAGAAAAATGAAAGGCAATGTCAAAAATTCAGACATCATATTTACATGAGGTTGAGTTTAAGGCCAACTTGGTGTGTTGAATGTCTAGAATGATGATCACTTTAGAACCATATAGAGAATTTGTTCTAATTTTTTAGAATTTTATAAAATATTATTGCTTCTACATATGTGTATTTCTTTTCTGTATGAAAGAGACCAAAGCTATATACCTAATCCTAGCTACACAGGAATTCTGTCATTAATGTGCCCACAACTATTCTGGACTCAAACATGGGTTATATTTTTAAAAGCATTGCAGAATATTTGTGCTATATGTAGCTGCTCTAATATTGATGGTTTTGTTAAAAATATTAAACACTGCATTATAGAATAGTATATTTTTTAATTCAACCCTCAATCTACTGAATAATTAACAGTAGATACAATGATCAAGCCATAGAATGTCATCTTAAAATACATACTCTCACACACAGACATACACATGGATGCCTACTTTATTTATGTAACCATCCTGTTTTAAAGAATGCTTACGTCACTCTGAATGATTGAGTTTGTCTTTGCCAAAACCACATCTGGAGTATCTTCAATGGATGTGAAATTGTCAAAATTATCAATGGCTTCCTTTGTGTAGATTCTCTGTAGAAAAACATGATATAATCATAATTATTCTCTGGGGAAAGAATAGGATGCTGCTATGAATGTACAAAACAATAATTTACCTTGTTTACTAAGTCTTGAGCCTTCTTTACTCTCCGGTGATCCACTGAATCTAATGGAATCCAACCACAGCCACGGAGCCATTCAAGATCAGATTTATATAAGTTCTGCAAACATTAATAAATGGTGATAAGAACAGTTTATATCTATGAAAATGTACCTGATTTACTTTCCGAGACTTTTTTCTTAGATATACTTTCATATCTAACTTGTAAAAAAAAATTCACTTCAGTAAGAATCCACCAGAGTTGGGTGGCTATAACAAATTTGAACAAACAATAATAATATTAATAATGGTATTACTTACGTCACTTTGAAGGTTATAGGCTTTCTTTGCCTGGATGCAGTCATTCTGGTCAGGGTGACACGTCCATTCATGAAGGTAATGACGATACGGAATTTCACTGACAAGGTGCTGGCAGTCTCTGGCTGCAATGACAGAGCGTATATCTGGAGGTATGTGAACGTGGGACTTTGTTTTGTGATAGGATTCTTTGTATAATCTGTCATTTTGAATCTTGCCAGCATGCTCAAACCACACTAGTTTGGGATCCTCTCTCATATTATTGACTCCAACATAGTGGCCTCTTTGGATGACGTAATCCGCCTTATATTTCAGCTAAAAGGGAGAAAACACAGATCCTGTATGTAAATATTAGTCTTAAATCTTTTCTTCTTCTAACTTGTGAAGTGTTTTTTACTGTCCTCATTTTCTGGAAGGATTAAGAAAAATATGGATGCAATTGCATCCTGACAAAGAAAATGGGCCACTGAAATGATAAATCGGACTAGGAGATTGCAATTAGAAATTGGAACCCTATTCCTGCTTCGATAGGCTTTGCAATATTGTAAAGGATAATCATGGCAAATGAGTGAAATCTGTGAGATTTTTCAAAGATAGAGAGCTTTTACCTCACTTTGGACATTGTCTGAATGTTTGGCATGACGAAAGGGCACGCTGTCAGGAGGCAAAGTGTAGCCAATAGCTTTATGCTTCTCCCAGCTGTCCTTGTACAGATACTGAAAGAAAGAGTTAGCAGTGGGAGGTTAGCATTTTCTGAAGCACTGCAATTGTCACTGGTTCTACAAAAAGACACCCAAATTAAACTTCAGAGCTAGAACAGTTTAAGCAATTCTTCCATAGCTTGGAAATGTTTTCTCTGGAAACTTTTCTTCCTAAATTTACTGCCTCTTGTCTTTTCAGAATATTTCAAAATAACTAACCGTAGAAAACTGCCATATTCAGACACAGACAACTGGTTCATCTCAGCACCATCAACACTAATTGATAGTAAATCTGCAGAGTTTCAGAGAGAGGTCTTTCTCAGTCTACCTGGATATTCCAGGGATTGGGTCCAGAACCTTTTATCTGTACACATGCATGTGCTCAATCACTGAGCTACAGCTCTTTCCCTTTGAAATCCTCATTTAATGTATGGTTATATATGACAGCCTTGAAAACAATCTCTAGAGGGCTCTCCCTTACTGAAGTTCTTCAGGCAGCATACTATAGGTCTGGGTTTGGATGAAGACTCACAAGGTCCTGTCCGACTCTGTGATTCTATGATTGCAGTTGCAATGTTACAGACTGAAATTGCAATGTCTTGGGGGGCTGGAACCCCTGGCAAGAGTCTGCACATTTATATCCTTCTTTTCCTTGACTGTAGTTTATCACTAACTATCCCATCAGGACTCACGACTTAATTATTAAAGCTATAAAACTATTCCAAATTCTCTATTTCCTATTGTTCCTGGGAGGAAAATACATACATGATTAAGAATCCTGGCTGCTTCTTTAGCTGCTAGCAACCGGGGTGTCTCTGTTAGAGTATAAATGTCCTTGATGCTGTTCCATTCCTGGTGGTATTTAACCTGGAAACAAACAAACAAAATATTCAGAATAGAGTTATTACAGATCCAAGATATGGATGTATAAATTGCAGCTTAAACAGATAATCTGACGCTCTCCAAAAGTGTTGGCCTTCAATTCACATCAGCCTCATCCGACATAGTGATGGAAGATAGCCTCCAGATATCTAAAACGAATCCAGCTGACTCTACTTCTGATTTTTACTCATGTATTTGTGGATACTGATCTGCCTTCATTTTTGTGAATAAGAAAAATAAGAATGAACATACAGAGAACAAGAATATAACCTCTATCTCAGAAACATATACAATATGGGTAGTTATCAGCATAATACATGTCTTCCTTCAAAATAAATAAATAAATAATGGAGAATCAGGAAAGCTTCTTGGCTAGAGCAGAGTTAAGGTTCATGAATTCAGCCTTTTTAAGCTTTTAGTGCACTGTAGAAGCTGTCACAGTTGGGCTGCCATCGTTGCTCTGGAGATCCCTGGCTACTTTTACCGCAATATAGTTACTGTACGCTGAAATGTCATTAATTTTATATGCTTCACAAAAAGAAAAGAAGCACATGGATTTGGTTCTGCCTAACAGAACTCATGTACTCATTTGATTTTATTCATTATTTAATGTAATCTTTTATGTAACAGTATAATTGACACATTACCTAATCTGATTATTTAATTATTTATTAAGTAAAATAATAAATCATCACAGCTGCTGTGGGGAGGGGAGGGATTGGAAACATCTTTTCCAGTCGGCCCAGTCAGTCCCATCATGAGGCATTTGAGCCTCCCCACGAAGCAACATGGCTGACCAGAATCAATACTTTACACTTGAATGCAAAGAAGGCATTTCTTAGTTTGCTTTATAAAGGATTTACTGATGCTAGAAGCCACTATAATTAAACTTTAAAGAATGCTGTACAAGAAAATAATTGACATAGGTGTTGTGAAAATGTCATTCTCTTGCTGCCACAGTTCCCAAGACTCCTGAAGCTGGATGTTGATAACTCTGCTTGATTTATCAACATCCATAGAGATTTGTTCACAGTATATTGTTTCCTTGTCCAAGATTTATTCCCCTCCCTAGGAGATAAATGATTTAATGTAACTGGATTGAAACAAAAAGTCAATACTTACATCACTTAGTATTTCTCCTCCTTGTTTGGCTGTGATATAATCAACCCTGTCAGCCACTGGAGTAAATGGCAGGCTATCAACTTTGGTACGATACAGCCTCTGTAACAAGAGAAAGCAATACGGAGGTAAGGCAAATAATAAAAATAAATAGCCATGCAAGAGAGAAAGCCAGGAGGAGAATATATCCATCTGCACTGACAGCCACACATTTTGCTTTCTCTTTTTTAATAACTCTTCTCCTGTTTGGGACTATGCTGAAAAAGAGCAGTGCCGTTGCTGCTGAGTTTGGGCCTTTAATCTGATAATGGGGAAGGACAAGTTAAACCCAAACCTCAGTAGCTTTCTGTTCCTTTTGGGCAGCACAACCTGGATTGTTTTGTAGATTACATTCAGCCAAAATCTGGTTTCCTTAGCTTTGACTTAGCATGTTGTTTAAAATCAGCCAACGATGATGTATCTAATAAACCACAGCAAAACAACCATAGCTTATTATTAAAAGGGTTTTAATTATTATTTTAAAAAAATTGCTTTTTTGCTTTTTCTTCTTTGGTTGGTTGGTTGGGTTTTACTGCTGTGTTAAGCTGCCCAGAGTTGGGTTTCTTAAGATGAAAGGAGAAAGTAAGTAAGTAAGAAAGAAAGAAAGAAAGAAAGAAAGAAAGAAAGAAAGAAAGAAAGAAAGA